GACATTTAGAAGAACAGTTGATCACTGATGTGCTTAATGTAAAACACTATGACCACTTCTTCTCCATTCCTCATAATGACCTACTGTAAGCCTGTTTTGCTGAGTGTTCCACTTACTGCAGACAGTACAGGCCTACAGAAGTGCACTGTAAAATATTTCAGAATACTGTTTTTATACAAAAACACACAAATACCAAATATATTTTCCTGTATGTTCCCCACAAAAACAGTGCACACAGTGTTCATCCCAACCAACACACATGCACTTAACATGGCCTCGTGGTCAACCAAAGTGGCTTCGATCTCATCAGAGATTACGATTTCCTCGTCCTCCTCTAACTCCTCTGGCTCAGCCTCTGTTTCCATTATTGGCATCCATTGCTCCAAAACAGAAGAGCTCACCTGTTGCCCTTTTATAAAGCTCTGATTTCTAAATTGCGATTCGGCATGACAGTGTGATGAGTTAGTATGCAAATAGTGAATGACAGTGTGTTCCTCGTGAAAACAAGAGATTTTCTGTATGAACATTGTGCCAAACGCAGAGAATTGTGGGCCGTGTTTTGAAAAAAAAAACCTTTAAACCTGCAATTTAAAGGGTAAAGCAGAACTTGTGCTTGTAGTTGAGCAGAATTGGTTCAGGGGTTTGGTGCATGTTGTAGTCATTGTGTCTGGACTACAAGTCATTGTATGTAAACAACTAAGAAAAACTGTAACAATAGTTAGCGGAATTATAACTGTACATGCATTACCGCTAACTAACATGAATTAACACGGTAATAAATGTACTGTTCAGTGTTTGTTCATGTTTCTACATGTATTAACTAAAACAACATTATTTTAAAGTGTGACTCTTACAATTGAATTCAGCTTTATTTGTGTAGCGCTTTTATTAGTGTAGACTGTGTCAAAGCAGCTTCACATAGAAGATCATAGTAAATGTAAACAGTGTCAGTTCAGTTTTCAGAGTTTAAGTTCAGTTCAGTTTAGTTCAGTTCAGTGGGGTTTAATATTCACTACTGAGAGTCCAAACACTGAAGAGCAAATCCACCATGTGTGTAATTATAATATATTATCATATTTAACCCCCATAACAGCATTATTAATCAAACCAAAGCAGTATTTCTCAAACTTTTTCATCATATGATCATCGTATGTCACGGCAGCATTATTCAAACTTTTCAGCGCAGTGGTGTAGCGTTAGCAGAGCGCGCTACAGACGAGTCGTGTTGTTGAGCTCGCAGAGGATATTTGTGTATTCACTGCTTCCTACAGGAAACTGTGGCCTGACTGCTCGCTACACTAGCCTCACACACACACACACACAGTTTCTTGCGTTCTGCATAGCATGTGAAGGCCGTCCAGATGGATGTCCTGCGCCTGCATCGGCTCTCCGTCATCTGGAGGAACTGGATGTTTAATCAGGCTGCTGACGGCTGTGATTCTGGCCCCGCACAGGTGGAGAACGCCAGCGAAACCGACCACGCCGACTTACAGAGACACGGCTCGCAGAGACAGTCCCGCCGACGCTTCTGTAGGGTCAGCGCTGGCGGAGAGAGACAGATGATCGTGGACAGCCAGGACAACACTGACACGGTGAGTGCCTTTCTTCTGTTCCCGTACTAACGTCCCCACAAGTGTAGCAACACCAGTACATCTGAATATGAAATCTCCATTTACATTTGACAATTGTCAAAGTTAAAAGGAAAATGGCTCATAAATCAGCCAAAATGAAGTGTTGTGAAGATGTAGAAGTGCAGAGTGTTTATGTGAGGGTTGTGTTTAGGGGTAGAGTTGGGGAATATACAGTACGCAGTGTTAAAGTCTTTACGTCTATGGGAAGTCCTCATAAAGATAGCTGTACAAGTGTGTGTGTGTTGTTATTAATGTAAACTTCAGAGTGTGTTTGATCCTGGTAGAGAGAGACAGATGATCAAAGAACACCACAGACACGTTGAGAGTGTTTGTATCTTGTGTTTGTGTCTTGTATTGTTTGTCCCCAT